CTCTGTTTCCTTACAGCTTCTAAAAATAGTTTAATTTTAAGCTTCAAAAAGGTATAATTAAATAATTTCCTTACGAATTACTACAGTATTTAATTTTAATTTGGCAAAACTTTCCTTTTTGCCTCTTGCACCGCAATAATTAAAAAAAGATGCTACTTTGTTTGACAGCATGTTTTTTAAAATATTGTTTGTTTGGGATGACACAACTCGTCCACCACATTTTGCGAAAAAGTTGACCTACAATTAGATACCAATTAACTAATAACCTAAATATTAATGGATAAATACAATACCAAATTTTGTATATTGCTTTTATCATTTAAGTGGTTTTCCAAATGATCGGTGGCTCCACTTTCTCTAAATCTGTTTAAAAACTCCACGCACTTATTGAACTTTTCACTACAGTCACTAATGTCTACCTCTTTCCTTTGAATGCTTTTGCTGATGAAATTAACTTCAAATTCCACAAGATCAAAGTTACGATGAAGGAAAAGTCTTCCATCTGATTAATCAATTGCTTGACCAAAATGTGACTTTGATGAAGGATTATACATTCTACAACAGAAACAATACACAGAATCTGATTCTTCAGAATAAATCAACCATCGCCTTGATATTTTTTCTCCATTTTCCAAAAACCGATACCGAAATTGGTTTGCAAAGTGCCTATTTTCGTAATTTTTGGGTAATCATGGTCCTCTTTAGAATAGTCAGTCGGCCCTTTCAAAACAAGTTCATCGCGATGAATCTGCAATATATGCGTTTGCCACGTTGCTGGATCTGAAGTAATCACCGGCACTGGCACATGCTCCGATTTGGAAATAATGTCAATTTCAGTGCCTGTTGACAGTTCTGTAACACTTTTATTGCCATTAACACTATCACGATCACTTGTAACGGTATCATCAGTAGGGGAAGGTACAAATTCAGTGTCTTTGGCCTCACTTCGTGACGAGAAACTACAGCTAGGTGCAGACGTACTGGTACTGGTCTCAGCCGCGGTAACATTTTGTGTTGTATTAGATTAAAAAAAATGAGTTAGTTTTGGCACTTTACTTAATAAAACTTCATTCGCTAACTCATTTTCCTTGTTCAACTTTCTCCTTTGCGCCCCTGACAACTTTTTCGTTTTCCACTAATCTGACTAATCGAATGGATGGTATAAGGTTCATAAGCGAAAAACGAAAAAATGTGGCCCTCTTTCCCACCTGCAGCGGCTGGGCTATAAATGGGGACTTTTGCTATTTCCGTCCTCTACAATCCCTCTATTGACTGAACTATATTGTCATTGTCACGTAGTTTGCGTAGTTAAAGAACATAGTGTCAAAGACTATCCTATCCTCTAGTCTTTGATAGTACAGTTCTCACGGCGAGTGTAAGTTTGCCTAGCAGTAGGACGCGCTGCGCACTGTTTCGAATTTAAATTGTTTGAAATAGCGCGATTGCGTAAGCCATTGGTAGGTAATTTAGATAACCGACCGCTGCCGAGCACACGATATACCTACCGCGCGACACGCACGAGGTACACACTCGCCGTGATAACATACCATAGGAAACAACACATGTAATATGGATCGTTTCTGTAGTGTATGTGGTGCAAGAAAACTACTTAACTTCGATTTTTCAATAGGTAAGTAGCCACAATATTTTATTGCACCTAAGTAAAACTGTTGTATTTCAGAGAAATGTGAAAAATGTAACCAAATGCCGTACATTCTCTCATTTGAATTTAAATCAAGAAATGTTTTACGTTGTTCAGTGTGCGTGTCGTACATTTGCGAGTGAAATAGATATTGTGAAATATGTGGCCATACCGTAGAACGTGGTAAAATAATTAGAAGCAAACGGGCAATTGAAAACCGCGACATGATTCGCGCAAAAAAAATCAGGCTTTAGAAAGAAGAAGAGAAACTCGCAATATGGTAAAAGCTGGAACAATTACATCTTTATCAACATCGCATTTAGATGCGTCATTAGAGCAGGCTGATTTAAATAAATCGTTGGCAATTGATGGCGAGGGCGACATTTTATTGAGTCAGCTGTGTGACGAAGAACTCGCCAACGACGTAAACAACGGCAACGATAAGAAAGAAACACATGAGGTGTGTGATATAGAAAAGGACGCCGATGTAAAAGATAAAAAAGAAGAAAATAACTAAAAAATATTTTTGTGTTTTATTCAGTATAATATTTTTACCTTAACTTGTTATAAGAAAAACATATTTTTAGTTTAGGTAATACTCAATTATATCTAACCTAAAAATAAAACTTACAGCAAAAAATGCCAAATACACATACAACATGTATCAGATTTGAAACAGGGATTATGTTAACAAAATGTTAGGTTATAAATATTGGCTCCCCTAATAATTGAACACCGGAATCACAAAACTTCGGGGTAAACAACGTTGCGCGTGAATTTTCCCGAATAGTTTGGGAAAGACCCCTGTGTTTTCGAAGTCTTCAATGAAAATTCGTATACAGTCAAATTTACGAACTCGGGAAAGAGCTACATAATGCTGACCGTGAGAAAATACTGGATCGGGAAGGTACAGGGACACTTTCTTAAGAGTTTGTCCCTGACTTTTATTTATTGCCATACAAAATGCCAAGCGTAGTGGGAATTGTACACGTTCAAATTTAAAAGGCAATGCAGTATCAGATGGTTGCAGTTTAACTTTGGGTATAAGTACACGTTCCCCACGATTTGCTCCAGTTAAAATTTCACACTCGATAGAACTTGGATTCAGATTCAATACGCGGAGACGTGTACCATTAATAAGTCCTTGTGCGATGTTCATATTTTTTAATAAAATTACAATGGCATTTTTTTTTACCAATGCTGAGGAAGACCACTGATTTCCACACTGTTAAGAAAGTCCGGTGGTAGTTGTTCATGTTCTTGGGGATCTTGCGTATCTATACTAAAATATATTTGTGGCTCACCTGGAAGTTTGTCAAGGACTTTTTCATTAATGATTGTTGCGTTATTATTTATTGGGGTAAGTATTGCTCTATCGATGATTTCTTCCAGATACAATGTGTCTATAATGTTTCCGAAAATAAAGTTAAGCATTGATTCAATACCTTGACCTATAATTTTTTCGGGAACCTGAATGAGACCTCTGATTTCTGGATGAGCTGGATATTTGCCATCTCCAATATCTAATAGAAATTTTGAGAACGCACCATCATCTTCATTGGGTCTCATGTTGGTTTGAAGTCTTGAAGATCTAGTTTTTGGAAATGAGTAAAAAGTGGATTGGAATTAATTGATGATTCAACCGTAACTGCACGACCGGCATGAGCAACAACGGGAAGTGTTTGTCGAAAGTCGCCACTAAGTAAAATAAACTTGTTTCCGAAGTGTCTTTCCTTACCGGAGCCATTAACTATATCTTTAAATAGTCTATTAATTACCGTAAGAACATCAGAGCTAATCATTGGCGCCTCATCGCATATAATCAGTTTTGAAGATCTAATTCTTTGTGCAATGGCAGAATTACGTCTAACTTCAGGAACGGAGTCTGATCTTGTGGGAACAGGCAACTTTAATTGAGAATGTATTGTTCGACCACCTGGTAGCAAAGACGCTGCAATGCCTGTATAAGCCATAGCAATGCAACTTGAACCGAGTTTGGCAATTAGTGAACGTTGTATAAAAGTTTTTTCGCATCCGGCTCAGAATTTTTTGGATTTACAGCGTACAAGCGGCTTACAACCATTGGTGAATTTTGTTTGCGTTTTTGCCAACACCGCCCATTATTTGACCAAGTGTAATGCAATGGTGGTTTCAGTGTAAAGGTACTGGTGTGCAAATTCATCTATTTGATTAAGACGGAACCAAGTAAGTAGTTTGGATTGGCGAACGTTTTCCTGTACCAACTTATTGCCTACTTGATCTTCATTAAATATAATTCTTTGTTGATTTTGAAGGTGACATTCGAGTTTGATTATTGTGTGTGGTTGATAATGCATTTCAAATTCATTGATTCGCCACATAGCTTCATGGGCGCCAACATATCGTCCTGTGATGAATGTGTTTATTTCGTCGTGTGATAACGCTACAAAAGTTGAGTCGGTGCTAAAGTGAAGCGTTCCAGCGTCATACCTCTTATAAATTATTCCATATTGTATAATCCACGGTGACATCATCATTTGTGTGTTAATGTGCGAGATGAAGCCGGGCAATGTGTTGACGGTTTCTATACAAACGTGAGGAGTGCCATTTATATTAGGGTATTATGGTACCCCCCCCCCTCCCTCACCCCCAATTGCATACAGAAGCCAGTTTTTTCATATTTTGGCGTTTATTGGGAGACGCCGATGGTTAGGACGATACGGTCTTTACCACCCGCACGTTAGTAAGTAAGGCGTCGAATTGCACCAAATTTTGTAGATATGTATATAGACACTTTGACACAACCCGCACATTCACGTTGGTAAGGGAGGTATTGCATTGGGGGTCGGTCTGTACTGAAACAAATTTGGTACACATATTCCTAGACCTAAAAGGAAGATCTGAAAAGCTTTTGGGCAGAAACGCAGGTGTGCGGGTGGTATCTGTGCTGGCCACAGCAAATTTTTTACATTGGTCCCCTAAAGTGTTCGTTCATATTTTAGATTCCACGGCGACTTGGGTACATGCGTGAGGCGAGGCGGCGCAGCCGCCGAAGTCGAGCGATGTCTTCTTTTGTGTGTCAATGTGCGGGGCGAAGAGAGTATCAATATATTAGTTCATTTTGTTCTGTAATTGGATGTATAAAATATCTGAACAATAAATCATTATTATTATTATTGAGTCGAATCAAGTTTCTTTCTGCTTTTTTCGCCTTTTACAATATTGTAACCACACAGAACACGGTTCTAACTACATTATCAAAACAATCATTTTTATTCAACAATCTTCAAACACCTCGGGGTACGTTTTTGTTTCACTGTATTTGCGAGGATACCTCTTAATTATATATAAAAATTGGTGGCAAAGCGGGTATGATGTATTGCTTATTTCAGAACTGTTGTGCCCTTATAATTTTAGATCAACTGCACTAAATGACGTGAAAATTTGTATAGGTACATCTTTTTACCCGATGAAGGTTGTAGGCATACTTTTGTTCACTAAAATCGAGATTTGCCAAGGGCGGTACGAAGTTCATCGGGCCTGCTAGTAATATTATATTTTTTATTCGAGTGTACTTAACCCCTACATTCTAGGCTAAATTCACACTACAAAAACACGAATAATATCAACCCGGCAACGTTTAAAAATAGCTGCCTCCATAAGCTAACCGAATCCCGCTTAAGTTTGAAATCGAAAAGTGGCACTTGATCAAATATCTAAGGCGTGTGAAAATCGTTGTTCAAGCACTCAGGCCGTTGGGAAAAATACCAAGAGCTGCGAATGCTTCCCGTGTACTCGAATGTCGATGTATGATACATTTTTATGGCATTAGCGAAACAGTACATATTAACCCTCTATATCGAAGGGTTATATGTGATATGTTATAGGTGCGAGCTTCCAAGAAATTCTTTCTAATTTTTAAATTTAAAATGATATTGAAAAAATGAAAACTGTGTAGAACAATACCAACAGACCATCCGGGTCCAAACAAAAAAGCAATAAAAATCACGTGAACAACAGTCGGCGTCGGTAGCGGCCCTAAACAATTTCGCATTTGTTTTCAGGTGATTTTTATGACTACCAAAGGGGGTGGAAGTAACAAGTAAGAAACAAGCCATTTTCTGTTTGAACGCGAACTAGAAACGTGTAAGTACACTTACCTTACGGAGCGTACATTCTATAATTACCTACATACTAATTGAGTATATTTCGTTTACAAATACTAACTAACAAACGAAGTTACAATAGGCAAGCATTTGCGAAATTTTATTGTTAAATATTATGAGGAAAGGTGCTTTAGCTTCATAGGCATGTCTGTTCCGAAAGCAAGTAAAACGAAGTATACTTAACCGGTATATAAGATTTACCATTCCATTACATTAATTAAATTTCCTATTTTTTTAATATTGCAGCAAATGCCGCGCAGTAAAAAAGCACGAAACGGTAAGAAATCATTTAGTTCCATAACATTTTACAAAAATGTGCTTATAGTAAACGAACCGGAGCGTCCGGAGGAGCCCCGACAGGAGGCGAATGCTTTGATGGTGCCACCCCCGCCGATCCCTCCACCGGAGGCGCTGATCCCTCCACAGGGGGCCATGGAAGTGCCTGCTGCTGGTAATCTCTCTTTAAAATTGTTGTAATACTCATTTAAATAACGATAATTCATAGCGGAGAACCCGCGGTCTAACACAATCAGCCCCGATGGAGTGCCGCCGGCCAGAAGCCACGTAGGCGCTCCAATTTTGGTAAATACATTACATACATTATAATCAATTTTATATCCGGAGTAAAGAAGCTAATGCATGGCGCTGCACAATATTAAATTTACTATTAACATTTGATAATTTGTACTACAGAGTTACATGGTTACAGGCAGTCGGCAACGATCCAGCGGAGAGAATTGAACTGCTAGAGCGCTACGTGGTGACCACTAACGAGCGGTTGAGGGCCTTCGAGGAGGAGCTGGGTCTCTCGGGGCCCTAGCAGCAGTGGGCACCATGGACATCGTCGCGGTCGGAGAGATCGGGGCCGTCAGCGGGGGAACTCCACCAGAAATTATATCAAAAATATTAAAAATTTTTATTGTTAGTTCTAAGTGTTTGTTTTTTTGTTTAATATACAGTATGTCCCAGGATTGAGTTTACAATAGGTATGATTGACCAAACATTTTCGTATCGGAATTTCATATTTTGGATTTCCGCCCTGCGTTGTGTAAAACTGATCTTAAGTTTACTTTCGATTTTTTCCGTTCACAGTAGGTACGCCAAAGTGTTATTAAGAAAAGTTGTTCAGAATGAAAAGTTATGGCGTTATGCAAATTTTCAGAATGATCGGCGTACTTTGATAAAATGCAGTACACACACAAGAAAACTGACCAATACTGGATTTTATCAAAGTAGGCCAATTATTTTGAAAATTGATTGATTGCATAACGCCATAACTTTTCATTCTGAACAACTTTTCTTAATAACACTTTGGCAGAATTACGCCAAAGGTAATTATAAACACTAGATAAACAGAGCAACATGCACTACGTTGTACCGAGATCATTAAAATCCAAAATTTTACACAATTTGTTAAACTCTTCCGAATTACTTCAAGAAATTAGGCTTAAGGTACCATTTAAGCTAAGGAAAAATAATACTATTTTTGCAGTTAGCAACACAACTTCTAAACAACCCTAAATGCAATAATAAATCAAATTAGATCTTTACACCCCAACAATGTAGCGAAAATCTTGAGAGACATCAGACACGTCCCCCGTCAGACCAACATCTACCACCACCACCACAAATGCAGAATCCGGGCCACCTTCATCATCAGCAGTCAACGCATGCTGAACAACAAATGCTGCTCTTACCGGCGAATTTAATTGAGGTTAAGGAGCACAGCATGCGATGGCTTCAGGAGCTTCACCGAATCTATCAGCATCAAGTGGTATTGGAGACGCTGACCACACAGTTATCGGATGAGCTGGCCGAAACGATCAGAAATTTGGAAACTGTGCGCGCCAACGTACTAGACACTGAAGAGATCTACGTAGGCTCTACGAAATGAATGTGTAGTTTTTGTAGATAGAAATAAATATATTTTTTTCTATTTTTGTCATAATTTCATCACCCTAACACGGCCTACTACTGGGACAATAACTATTGAACGGAGTATAGCTATTGTAGAATCGTATGGAAAGTGGCGTTTAGTCCTGTCTATAGGTCCGTTGCATTTGATAACAATGATCGCTGTTTCTCGTTTGAGTAAAATGTTTGTGTCAAAAATTCGGAACTTTTGATATAAGATACCAAATGCATTTTCGAGCGCGTGATAAGCGATCGTTGAAAATTTGCTTATCATTTTCTAAAACTCCATTTTTTGGACGCGGATAAGGTCTCATTAAATATTTTTTCAAAGGATATGCCTCGTCCCCTATCATAACATTTGGTAGAACACTATTGGAATTAGGCAGTGCTCGTTCTGGAGGTACATTGAATCGATTGGATTCCAATAAATTATAGAGTGCTGAGGATTGAAATACTCCACCATCACTTTCTGATCCACGCGAGCCCACTTCAATAGTAATAAATTTTTTGTTGGCATCTGCAACCCCTTGCAATCCTATTGAATAATATTTCAAATAATTAAAATAGGTTGTGCCACTATTGGGTGGACATCTAATGCGACAATGCTTCCCATCAATCGATCCAAAACAATTAGGGAAATTCCATAGCGTATTGTATTCTTCAATGATTTTCTCCAGTTGTTGTTGGCCGCACAAAGGCATATATGTTTCTACTAGTTCTTCCCAAATAACTGAACATGTTTCTTTTACTATTATCGAGACTGTTGAAGATCCGATTCTAAATTCGTGTGCCAAATGTTTATAAGTTGTTCCAGTTGCAAGAAACCTGAAAAAAACAACGATATTCATTATTTAGCAGTTACTTAGTAAGCTTTATTTTCAGAGGAAACAGTTGCAGCTCGATGGAAAAACAAAAAAGATAAATATCGACGAGAACTGAAACAAGTTCCAGTTTTGCGTTCGGGAGCTCCTGCAGACCATTACAAATCTAACTGGCCGTATTTTGACATGATGAGTTTCCTGAAAGATTTGTTAATTCCTGGTGTTAAGTCTGGAAATCTACCAAGTTTGGACGAGTCCAGTCAGGTCGATGAAAATATTTGTGACCTAGAAGGGGATAAAGACGATGAAACAGACACACAATCAGACATGGACACTACATATGTCAACTCTCCACCATCTGTGTCAGTATCACGAGAAGAGAGACCATTATCATCAGCATCCGCTTCATCTTCAATTTCCCAGCACAGAAAAGGAAAAACTAGAAAAAGAATAGGTGACGTAAGAGAGGGAAAGTTTTTAGAAATTGAAAATAAAAAATTAAACCTACTAACACAGCATTTGAAAAATGACGCAGAGGAGGCAGACTGTGAAGAATTGTTGTTTTTTAAGAGTTTGATACCGTACATGAAAAACTTTAATCAAATACAGAGGTTAAAGCTAAGGAGTAAAATTCAAACCGTTATCTCAGATGAACTGGAATCCGCAGAAAATAACAAATCAAAAATGACTCGAGCAACAACTGCCCAAAACAATAATTTACAAATATCAATGTTACCTTCGCTAAGTCCGACCCTCCATCACTTGTTACCTTCAAAAAAACCTAGCCATCATCATCTGATATCGCCACAAAACTCTAGCCTCCATCACTTGTTACCTCCTGAAAACCCTAACCATAATCACCTGTTATCGCCAAAGAACTCTAGCCTTTATCACCTGTTACCTCCTGAAAACCCTAGCCATCACTTGTTATCATTACAAAACCCTAGCCCTCATCACTCTACTGTGTCCAGAAATCCTTCGACATCAAGCACGCCCTTTTCCGAGTCCAATACCCTTTCCAGTACAACGCTCTTTCCAGGACATGGACAAGACCCTTACCAGTAACGAGGTTGTTACAATTATAATATAGGTATACTTTGTATTGTTTCGTGTAATAAAAAAAAACTATAAATATTTTTTCTTACCTTATAGTAATAACAACTCGTTCAACAGGTGAAATAAATCTCTTTTTCACAACATTTGTTACAGTTTTTTCCAGACGATGGCTAACCTTTCCCAACAGATAGTCAAAGGTTCTGACGGACATTCTTAGATAATTGAAAAATCTATCAGGATACATCCTTAGCTCGCGATACAAATGATGAAATTCACCGAATACATATCTTCCCCTGTTTATAGGGTGAATACCAACTTTTCTCCTTTTTAATCTAAAATATGGTGTCTCCAGCAAGAACATTAGCGCACACAAACGAACTGCTTTTCTTGGGGCCA